TAGTTTCAATGAGAGGGGCAGTATTGGTAATAGAAAGGAAGAAATTTCTCCACCTATTGAATGAATGGTGAAGTGCACTCTTCCTTTTACAGCTGTTGCTACATCTGTAGGTTTCGTAGTTTGCCCGAACGCCACTTTTATTTCTCTAATCCAGCATGCCACCCTCTCCTCTTCTGCCTTCTTCGGTTCCTCCCATTTCCCCCCTGCCCCTTCTTATAAGCTTTGCGTTCCCCTTGTCCTGTCATGCATTTTTGCTGGAGACTGTACGGCATGTTGACCTGAATAACAGGGCTGGCTAAACAGATTGGGTCTGCCATTAGATACTGTGGATTTGAGTGCCTCTGTCATGGTCCAGTCTTTCCTTTTCCACCCAGATAAACATTAATCTGCCCATCAGAGCATTACTGGAGAGTTGGGTTGACTGGAGGAGACCTCCAGAATTTATTGCAAGCGAGGCAGACAAGCTTTGAAAAAATAGTCTTCAAGCTAAACGTTTGGCCTTACTTCCCTCTGTGTGTAAATATAGTCTTTATTTCACAAAGAGCAATATTATTACTTACAGCTGTGATTTAAAAGTGATCTAAGAGGTGAAGATTATGTAAGGTGTAGCCAATACTCTTACAGTTTTGTCTATGCAAATACACAGTTAAGACAAATTATGGAAACCCAAAATTTTGTTCCATAGGAAATTTAAATATTTCGGTACCAAAAATGAAAATTATTTCAAAAGGAGGTGGAAGAGAGGAAATTTTCTTTTAGAATGATGGTGTTAAAATATGGTTTAGAAAATGAAAATGATATTTTCATGATGGCAGTTTTTAGTAATTTCCAATATTTCTAAAACTGAAGCTTTCCAAATATAAACCATCTAAATTTTATTCAATAATAGTTTGTCTGGTGAACTGCCAGGGTACCTTGAATGCTTTTGGTCTGCAGCTGAGGTAGGTATTTTGGTGTGCTGTGCTGGCACCAGGAAAACCTTGGAATTCCATGTGCTTTAAAACAAGTTGGAACAGAAATATTGCAGTGTCCCACAGGATGCTGTCAAAAAAAAAAAAAAAAAAAGACAGGGATTGTGATCAACTTCCTTTTTCTTAATTTAAAAAAAAAAAAAAAGATTCTTATCAAACGGGGAAGGAAAATATATTTCACCTTTCACAAGCTGTTTTAAAGGATGTGCTAGGTTTTTGTCTAGCATACATCTATATAGAGATGGAAAGGTCCAACATCACCGATATGACAAAGTGTTTTACCTCGTGGGTTTCTGCTTCTCACATTCATTGATATATTTGTGGAATTCTGAAGGCAGAGGGAAGCCACAAAAGGTCACAAAACTGCAAGCCAAGGTAAACAGCCTGTCAGAATATGTTTAGCAAATGACAGTGTAAACCACAGAAAAATATAGAAAGGAGAAGAAAACCTATTTCCTTGGAAAATACATTTCCTGGTTGGAAAGGCATTGATGTTTAAAGTCGCTTGCATCGCTGCCTTGCTCTTTTCCAATAAATTGTCTTTGTTCAGGTTGTGAAATCAATCACAGTCCCAGGTGCGTAGTCCATAGGGAAGAGGAATACATGTTCTCCAACAGGTATAACGGAAGGCATTTTGGGCATCGTGTCTAAAGGCAAAAGCATCTTTCATCCCAGGAAAGGAGACTGGACTACCTCTTTGGCATGAACATTTCTTAGTAATACTTGAATAATGTATTGAACATAGATGCAGCACCAGAGCATTTCTACAGTCATTGTCAAAGAGGGTTGTGTTTGCTTCTCACAAAAAAGGAGGATTCTTTCTTTTGTTCAATGTGCATTTTAACTTTTTTCATTCCATTGCAGATGGAAAATAGATTCTCAGTCCTTGGTTATTTATCCTAGTTTTCTTGTGTTTCAAATACAAACTTTTCTTGATGGAGAAATACATTTGGATGGCTATGCTATTGTCCCCACTGCTTTTTAGCCCTGTGACGTGAAGCTGCAGAATTATGTAACACAATCTTGTAAATGCTAAAGCATCTGAACCACTTTGGTTTTTACTTTTCACAGCAAGTTCAGACTTCAGTCCAGATGTGCAATGCGAGGAATTTTAGTTGCACCCAAAATTCCTTCAGCAGGCTGTTGCAGCACAGTGAGCCTAGATAATTGACAGGAAGAAATTTACTGGCTAAAAATGTCCTTATGTCCAGGAAACATGTGAGGGACTTGTTTCTCTTGATGTAGACAGAATTTCTAAAGATTTCTCTTGTTGATGGTGAAATATCTATAGTGTGAAGGGAACTACACCTACGTCTGTGTTCAGCAGTAAGAAACCAATATTCATGTCATATATTTGCTTTTGAAAACAGAAATTTTTGTCTACAGCACCAGACTTGTTTGCTGAACGTAAAAGAACAGAAATCCTTTATAGGTCCTGAGGGAGACATTGCAGGAAAGGAGTAATCATTATAAACCGTGATGTATGTACTGTACCATGTTGCCATAAGAAAGTTGTGTTCTGTTGACGTATAAAATAGGTTTTAGTAAATACCTTACATAGTGATATTAGTAATTGTGCACACTTCAGTGCAGTGCTAGTGAGTGCTATATAATGATTAAAGTGTTTCCAGATTGATCACATGGAAACAAGTGGAGTTCTGATGATCAGAATGGTATTAGAGTGGGGGAAGTGTGATTAAGAAACCGCTCAATCAAGATAATACTGATAACACAGAGAATAATCAGATTTTTTTTTTTATTAGAAAAAGACAGCTTGCTTAGAAAGACCACATACAAAAATCAAGGAGAAAAGAATTGAATATAGAAGAAACACCCTGACAAACAGAATTATCTGGATCTGTCATGTGCACCAGAAAGTTGAATTTTATTTGGGTTTTTCATAATATTTTTTCCTCTCTATTTTACCTCTTAACTAATGGAATTAATTAGCATTTATTTTAAGGGTCTAGGATTTAAACTGTGAAATTTGAGTTTCTCTGTTACTTCAGGGGTACCAGAAGACCAAAGGGTGCAATACAAAGTAATCTGTAAGTTATGTAGAAGCACTAACACCTATACTATGCTTGACCCCCCCATACATCTTAAGCTTAAGGTGATAAGCATAATGATTAACTTATTCACTCTTCCCAAATCAGAGTAGTAGATAATAATTTCATATTCTTAACTTAAAAAATAAAAAGGTTATCTTTAGAAACTTCATAAACTAATCTTAAAAAAAAAAAAATCAGTACTCAAAATCAATTTGATAAAAGTCTTTGGCCTTGAAGACTTAGTACAATTAATCTACATATTGCCTTTGTAATAAGTTGTATACCTGATCAGAAAGTAAAAACACTGGTGGATTACTTAAAGGAATTAGTGTTTCGGGGGAGATGATGATGATGATGATAAAGTAATTAGTATCATAAGTTCAACAAAGATTTAAAACTGTGGTACATGGCAGTAATGGATTTTGAACACAGTTAATGAGCATATTCATTGCATTCATTTTTAATTAAGTGGAAAAAATACTGGTCCTTTAAACAGAGATAATAAATGTGCAAGTCAGTCTTGCACAAACATGCAACACAAGAATTTATTGCCTGCTGTCTAACTAGGGAACTGGGAATCATTATAAAGATTAGCTTTACTGAAAAAAAATCCAGAAAAAGCTTTAGTAGAAAATGTTTATGAGGTAATAATTTTCACATTAAATATTGCTTGGCGTATTTGGTAGAGTGTGCGCGCATGTTTTCTCAAATATGAGCATTTGCTATTATCAGAGGTAGGACTGTTTGTACCCTTGAAAAGGATTCAATGCTATTTACCAATTTAGATTTACACGAGATGTATTTAGTATATGACTATACAGGTAAAAGAACATAAAAACATGACAAACCTTGAAACTTTCTCAGCGATGTGTTACGCTTGTGCTTAGCCTACAAGTTGTGGTTTAAAGATAAGACGATGACTCAGAAAGCTGCAGCTGTGAACTTCCAAATGCTTGCTGTGCTGGAAGTGATGCACTCTCGCCTTCCCGAACCAGCGGGCCCTGCTGCCGCTGGGGATCCAAGGGTTTCGGGCTGCAGCAGGGGAAACCCAGCTGAAATGCTTAGTGTTTATTCTGTCAGCGGGCAGCTGACATGAAACAGGTTAAAGCACTGCAACCAGACGTACCTTTTAGAGCAGTGGCTTTCAATGTTTTTATGACTTGGGAACCCCCTAAACATTTCCCAGTGGAAGCGAGGACCTTTGTGTGGCGGATTGAGTCTTACTGATGACAATTGACTGGCGTTTCTTAGTTACCTTTCATGGACCTGTTTGAAGTTGTTCACAGATCCCCAGGGATACCCAGACCACATGTTAAAAACCAATGAAACTAAATCAAACTTACTATGTTTTGTTCTCTCAAAGCTCCCAACCCATATCTCTCTTGCCAATATTACCAAAATACCAGGTTCATTTTGACATGCAGTGCGTCTAGGTCTTTGCTCAGCAAATGTCTCATTGGGACATGCATAAACCCAAAATGTCCTTCCAAGTTTCCGTAAGCCACCTTAACCTTCAGGAGCTTATTTGCCACTGATATTACAAGAGGGCAAGTTTTCTGTCCCAAAAAGCCCCTGAACTTTCACTGGTGAGATGCAGTATACTGCTGGTGATACTGCGGTACGAGTTACTGTGCCACGCTTAGGCAATTTCAGTCTTTGTTCTCTGACTTTATTCTGCCCTATCCCACATGTTGTAATTGCCTTCTGTAAAAGGAACAAACAAAAGCATGCTCATGGGTCTTTTCAAAATGCTAACTCTGCTTTTATTTTTTTAACCTCACTGCATGATTTTATTATGTATTTAAGCCAGTAGCAACTTGGAAGCTAAGTATAAAATAGCTGGCTTTGGTAGCATACTTCTGGCATTAAAAAAAAAAAAAAAAGAAATTGCAAACTGCAGAGTCAGTCTATTGATTAAAGCAGGAAGTTTATAGAAATTTTATCAGAAAATAAACATTTTATTTTCTTTTCTATTCAGGTATGACTTTGTAGAAGTTGAAGAGCCTAGTGATGGCACTGTTTTAGGGCGCTGGTGTGGTTCCAGTAGTGTGCCAAGCAGACAAATCTCCAAAGGAAACCAGATCAGAATAAGATTTGTGTCTGATGAATATTTTCCTTCTGAACCTGGATTCTGCATCCATTATACGCTTCTTATGCCAGTAAGTAACATGCTTCAGATTGGAACATTTCAGGAAGACAAAATCTTTGAAGTGGTAGCTCAAAAGAATCTTTTAATAGCTTAGGATTAATTGCTGTTTATTTCTTAATAATAATAATAGTGAGCAATCTGTCTTCCAGAATTGTACATTTTGTTTCTGTTTTTTAACTAACTGAGTGTTCTTGTGGTTCTTCTTGGATGGCTTTGGAAGTTGTGGGCTCGGTTGTTTGTGTGGAAACTTCAATAAAATGTTTGCATTCCTAATACATCACTGTGAAAAAAAAAAAAGTTTAGCTTTGAGAAGAAGAAAAATGAGCGTAAGAATCAACTGTGTGACATTTAAACACCATTAGGAAGTTACAAAGAAGATTGAAGAAATTAATGTTTTTATTAGTCAGCTGCTATTAGACATACACAGCTAAATGATTATACCTAGTTCAAAACCAGAAAAGTTCTTATGCTTCTGAACTGTTTTATTATAGTGACAAAGCAGACAATGCATAATACTCATCTTCCACTGCATTTTCCCTGGAAGCTGTACTTTAGACTTCTCTTGCTTAATGCTTGTAAATCACAGGTATTAAACAGCAGTCATTGTCTAAAATGTGACTATTTTCACTGTCAACAGATTTCTGTTACCTTTTTTCACCAAATGAAAGATCTGTGATAGCAAAGAATGTTTATAGATTTTTGAAGATGAGATAATGTTCCGAAACATTAGAGTGGAGCAGAACAGGAGTTGACTTGTTCTAGAATAGGTATTCCATATTTAAAGAGAGTAAGGAGTATTTTTGTTAAATTCCTCATAATTCACTTTGTGAATCTCCTAAGTAGTCTTGTGGTCTGTGGTATTTGGTTGGTGGAAAATATCTGCAAGCTCAATAAAAAATTGATCAAAAGAATCCATGTTGTAACCTCACTGACATGTGCTTTGCTGAAAATGCGTTTGGCTTGCTTATTGCTTTTGCCATGTTTGCTGCTTCTCCCCATTGGCAAAACTTCAGTTACTGAGAAGAAGCAAAACACAATTCCGCATATCTTTTCAACAATACATAATCTTCTACATAATATATTTAGCATACTGATGATGTCAGTGAAGTGTAGTTGTGTGTGTGTGTATATACGTATATATATATGTATGTATGTTAATTTCTGTTGTTTTCCTATAAGTATTTTTAAATAACTTAGAACTAGTCCTAAAGTGATTAAAGGTTTGATCTGTGTATTTGACTCTTCTGAGTTAGACCCTTTTGTTAGCAAAATAATGTGACCTGATAATGATGAATTTTGAAATCAAATCAAATGTCAGTCAGTCTCCAAACCAACTTGAAATATGGCCAAGTTTAAACTTTCATACATCTGAGGGTCGAATGTAATTAGTATGTTTACTTTTAGAATATGGTAAAAGAAAATCCCTAAATAGATGTATTTGTGGGCTGATGCCAGTTTTAATTGTTACAGCTCTAGTATTATATCCTACCTGCTACATATCTATCTGACTTAGGTATGATCCAATTTCTGTGGATTGGATTAAAAAAAGGCACCTAAAATATACCAGAGTATATGTATAATTATCTTTATGCCATGCTGTACAAATGGACTGAGATTATTCCTTGACCTTTGATGGAGAAAACTAGTTATAACATTTAAATTATCAACACTTGCAAAACAGTTCTTTAATCTTCAAAATATTTACATCACTTATTCAATAGACAAAAACAGAGTTGACAGCGTGGGATGCGTTTTTAGTTCCCTGTTTTTCTCCATTAACAAAGCTCATATAGCATAAGTAGACATACAAACTGTTTTTGAAACCAGGCATATTATCTCTTACATATGTAACAGGCAAGAGCAGCCCCCTTCACGTGACAGGAATTCAGAACTAGCCGCAAAATGTGCAGTATAATAACTGCTTATCGGCTTGTGAGAATTAATTTCTAAATCTCTCTTCAAAAGGGCTGTGATCTTTTCGATCAAAAAATTCTGTCATAATAAGCCATGCAAAATACAATTTCACATTTCAGACTGCAGATTGTAAATGAAATCTATATCCCTGAATTTCAGAATCAGACCTGCTTCTTGTACCTAAAGCTATAGAAAACTGATGCCAAAAAAAGGTGTTTTTCTTCGAAACTATAATGCTTTCTCATCCAACATTTCAAGAGACACTAAAATTTACAGCCCTCCACCCCCCACCTCCCTGCAAAAAAAGTTGTCAGCTATGGGAACGAGTGTAAATTTTAAGTAATTCTTGCAAAACCATAATTGATTCACTTAGTGATTCACTTCAATGAATTGGTCTTAAACAGTTAAATATTTTTTCCCCTCATTTTTTGACAAGGGGGGGAGGGGGAGATGCCTGGTAGACTAGCAATGAGAGATTGTTTGGGGAGAAATGAAGCAAAACTGAAATAAAACAGTGCAAGCTTGTTTCTGTATTTGGAGGCCACACACAGAGAGGGGCACTGGACACATTTTCAGGTCTTTTAAAGAGCAAGAGAAATGGCTTTGTTTAAATCTGCTATAATTTATCGTATGTATTTTTTTTTTACTTTGTATATTATATTTCAAACCAACTTTTCACATGATGAATAAGTGGGGGAGAATGGTTATTGATTTGATTACATCTAAGATTTAGTCGCTCATAAGGACTCGCAGCAGTTCCAATGCTAATAGATGCAACATCATTTTTTTTCAAAAGGGTTACAGTGGAATTGTAAGGCCCCTCATAAAAGCAGTGCACATACTGTATACAAGCAGAATGCTCCCCGAGAAAAACATGAAGCTTTTCATTGAATTCTGGCTAATTACAGTTTAATCACTTGAGTTTCTTCCATTTTAAATTGTGTGTGCTGGGTACATCTAGAACTTTCTATAATTGTGGTCTAACTCCACTTTTCTTTCCTCTGTTCTATAGTTGCAAGTTAATTTTGTCTGGAATACCATAAAGTGGAAGGAAGTGTTGAAAAAGCTTGCTCTTGCTAAGAAAATGTAGTTTGTGTTATTTCAAAATGATTATGCTACTTTCAGCACAGCTGTAATTCTTAGGCACTCTTCATGCTCTGCCCTGTCACTTTGTCTGTGCTTAGTGGTGAGCCGCTTTATTCACTAAGGGCTGCTTTGCGGTGGTTCTGCATTTTGACTGGTCAGCTTTGCATTTATTAAAAGTCATGTTTTTGGCACTATACCACCTAAACCCTCCTAGAACATTATTGCAAAAACAATCCATATTTCATTTCTTTTCCCCTTCTCACTTGCCCCCACTTACAGCTCTACTCCATATAGTAGCCACATGCAACTGAGGGAAACCTTATAAACCCTTGTAATATATGTTTGGGCTTCAGTCTTTCTGGTGACTTGTTTAGTTTAAATTATGTCAGTTACAAGTTTGGCAGAGAAAACTTGATGTAATAAAGTCCATTGTTACTTGGGGAGCGGGTGAATGGGATACTTGATGCCTGAGGTGCCATTAAGGAATGCATGACTGATTGCCAAAGTAGTTATTAATTATTCAGGGCACTTGGAACAAAGCAACTCCAGTTAAAGTTGAAGCTGGGGGTGACTGTATTCCCCTTCTTTTTTGGCATATGGTAGCATGTCATTTGTCATCAAAGATCATGCCAAAGATCTTTGCAAAGAACAGACTTAACCCTCTTCTATGCAAGTGAAGACGAAGAGGAAAATCCAAGCAGCTGCTTAAAGATTGACCTGGTTTAAAAGATACTTGGTAGGTGTGTTGTGATTTTTGGTGCAGTACCTGCATGGCTACCTGGATTCCAATCCAAGAGAGATTTTTTTCTTTTGATGCAGAGATATTGTTAGTAGTGCTCTTGCTATTAACAGTAATGAAGATTAAATTTAATACCATGCAGATAATCTCTTTAGGGCTATATAAGAATTGTTCCTTTATTTCATCCAAATTGGCTAAGCTTTGCTCTTTTAATTTTATTTGTGGAAACTTTTTAATTGAGCTTGTTTAATGAAAAAGGCAAATAAAATTTAAATACTAATAGAAAGAGTACGTACTAATAGAACAGAGCTCTTACCTAGCATTCCTTTCAAAAGTCCACAGATTTCACAGGTAGCAGGTGTGTATCTCGCATCAGTACCAAAGCTCAAGGGAGGCTTAACTTTGGCTGCAATAACAGAAAAATCCATCCAGAAACATCATAAAGGATATTACTGACCTCCTAAACAAAGGTTTTTCTACACTCTCTTAAGAAGTAATCAAAAGATTTTGGAAATAACACAATTTCAGGGTTGTTTAAGCCAAGGTGGTATGAAGCAGCAGGAGAGTGTACAAGTGTTATTTAGCACTTTGCAACACTGCGTGAAGTGAAAAAAGACTGTGAAAATCCTTCATATGATAGGAAAGTCTTAAACCTATGTGTTCAGAGTTTCCACTGATTAGATTTAGTGAAACCTAAACCTGGATAAACCAACAAACTCCTAAACATGCTTCAGTGTGCAAATTCAATCATTCAAATTTTTTTGTGTGGCAAAAATTAATTGTAAATCAGAGATTGGTTTTTTTGGACGAGTTCTTTCCTTGTAGATTTCATTTTGCATTGAATTTGTGCTTGAGGTCTAAAGAGAAATGCATTTTAAATTTCATAAATGAGGCATTAAAGATCACCCCAAAATACATAGATAGGAGTAACATGTTTCAGGTTAATCAAAAAACTACAAAAAGTACAAAACCGAGGATGGCTATGATCCATGGGACTACAATGAGATGAGAAAAAAACCCCTTTGAAGCAGAAAGAACCTCTCAGGGATATTTCCTAGTCAAATCATAACATCTTGTTTTCAGGGGATCATATCTCATTCTATCACATGAACATCATAAAAAAAAATTAAAAATCTGTATATGTAAAGCAGACTCTGGGAGATAGGATTAGAAATTAATCTAGCAAAATTGTGGGCCTGCACAGAAGTTCATGGAAGTGTGTCCTTGACCTGCTCAACCAGAGATGTCAGTGTGGATTTTCTGAGACTCTA